GCTTGTCTGAGGCCAACAGGCCATTTCTGTCCAGGTCTGTTATACAAGCAGCAGGTCAGGACCCATATTGGGAACATCTACATTTTATATTTTGAGAATCATTTCAGAGAGTCAAAGTGAAGAGATGGGAAGAGCGATGTAGTAGATTCGGGGAGTTAACATGAGATAAGGCGAGCTACTGTACCTCGGAGGAACTTAGTTATGATGAAAATATTGAATTAAAAATGTATATTTTGGAGTGCCAGTAACATGCACAAACATGCTTTTCTGAAGCAGAGAGTAAAAGATATAATTCAAAACCAAAGCTAAGTTAATTTCACCCCTCCAGGGTGATCTAAGATAAGCAACACAGAAGAACTCAGAGTCAGATTAACTTTAACATGATCCTATTCTAACATTCTGAAATAACGTCTTTACTACAATCAAACTCAATATTATGTTCTTTGGAATATGCACATTTCCAGAGAATCTCAAAGAAGAGAACAAAAGTAGTAAAACAGAAACACAGTCTGAAAGACAGCAAAACCAAAAAAAAAAAGTTTTGAACTGAAAGAACAAAACAGAATGAGGTCTAAACTCTGAAAGAAAGCATTGGAAAGACAGATCTACCTGGCTGTTGTGATGGTGTCGGAAGATGGTAACTGCTCCAGTTGATGAAGCTGTAACAATTCTCTCATGGTCCAGAAACTAAAAGAAACATCACAAGAAAATAAATGTGCCTTACAGGGCATGTAAAATGGTCATAAACACGAATAAAAAAAGAGTAAACCAAGCTAAGTCTATACCAAGGTTTAATTCACAACTAACATTTATAGGTCAGAGAATGAGAGAAAAGTATATTGCTTTGAAGGCTGACCTACATAATCCTCCAGTAACACATCGAAAGAAGAATAAAGGATAAAGCAACAGTAATAAAGGATTTATTACATTCACAGGAATAAAACATCATTCCTACAAAGCATTTCTGGAAGAATTGTGAAATGTGTCCGAGGTTGAGGAACAGTGACGCTGTTTGATATTGAGCGATCGCGGCATCACACAGTAATGTATGAACATTTTACGTTGTGCCTGATATTACTACTTCAAATGTACTCAAAGAAAGGTGGAATGTCACTTATGGCCTGTTAACTAGGAATTTTCTTCTGATGCTCAAGACCCATTGTACTGTACCCATTGCCTGGGGAGAGGCAAATTCTGTATCCACACAAAAATGTTTACTTTTAGACATGTTATACAATCAATACGACATAATCTAAAAGAGAGTACAACTTTAGAATTTTCAGCCAAACATAAGCAGGAATAAACACAAAGTGTCTGATATCATACATAATATGAATGATGTTTCATACTAGTTCCCACAAAATGTCTTTTGGCCCTAGTACTGCCCTTCCATGTTTTTTTCTGAAACCTCCTTCGGTGGAAAATTCTAAACTGTCTGCTAAGATACCACAGTTCCATTATTCACCTCACTTGAGAGAATATGAAAGAGGAAAATAGAGTTACTGCCCCTTTTTAGAAATTTTCAAAATGACCAATGATCAATCGTAGTAAAAAAACAATGTACAACATATTTCCAGATAGAAAAACGAATGAAGAACAAGTGTACCTGAAGGTCCATGACATCACCGCCATGTCGGTAGTCACACAGTAGCTGGGGATCTCCTTCAAACTCATCCTCCATGCTGGTGACGCTAAGCTCCCCCACAGACCATATGGAAACTTTATTGTCCTGGCACAATGAGGCAAAAGTGGCATTCAAAAAGATATTCCTTTCTATCAGGTAATCCCGCATGTAAAAACACCCCTCGACCATGACAACTGCCTGCAGCTCACAGCTGGCAGCCCACTGGAGCTCAGCTGCGTGAGGCTGGCCAGTACCTGTGGGGAGACTCCTGCGAAAGCTAAGGCCGCTACTGGAAGAGGTATACGTAGAGCCAGCAGGGGGCGCTCAGCCTGCGGTCTGTGTAGTCCTGATACCCCAGTATAGTAACGGGGACACTATAGTATAAAAAAAAATGACATCCTTCGGATGAGACATAAAACCGAGGTCCCGATTCTCCGTGGTTATTAAAACTTAAAAATCCCAGGGCTTTCCACGGTCTCCTAATAATCTCCATTACTTCATTACTTAGCTCTCCCCACTGAGAGCGGCTGTGTGGGGAGTGTACTCTGGCTACCTTCACATCATCCAGGTGGGGCTGCACACTGGTGGGGGTGGAGGGGATCCTACTTATTGTAAAGCGCTTTGAGTGGAGTGTCCAGAAAAGCGCTCTATACTGTAAGTGTGAGGAATTTTTAATAACTGCCGCTGTGACGGCTTCATTCACTTCTCTGTAAAGCTGAACAGTAGAGCCTATTGGCTTGTCCCGTACGGAGCCACGTTGCCTTACAATTACAAAATGTAGTACAGAACCAAATCAAGTCAGACATATTCAATGTTTTCAATGTAACGAGAGACAAAAAACTGAGAAAGAGTTGGAAGCAACGACAGTAGTGTGCTCAAATCTGCTGGGGATACAGGATCGACTTCCACCTAGTAAAACGTGAAATGTAACATAACACCGGCTTTATTGCTGAGTTAAAGACTTATAATTTTTACGAAAACAAAACTGCTTTCGAAAGGACATCCATTCATTTCTTTCATGCTTATTACAGCTCTATAAATTACCTCGTTATCCCAAGACCCTGTAGCGAATATATCTGGCTTTTGGAGGGATGCAGAAGACACCGGTCTCCATCGTGTCTTACTGATCTTCTGAGACACAAATTTGGCATTAATGTACTCCATTAAAATGCTATTTTATTGTTGTAGCTCACATTAAAATATCATTTAAATTTGAACTATTCTTGCGGCTCCCCGGATCCCGTCAGTTCCTCCTCTTCCGGCTCACAAGACGGTCACGTGAGTACGGATCCTCAGCAGAGACAAGTGTCGTTCACATGGTTAAATACGGTTGCAGAAACATGAAAAATATCTACAAAATCGTAGTTGAATGAGATTGAAAATATGCTCTGTTATTATATTTCCTATATTGTGTTTCATGTCATCTGTTAATGGCATCTTTAATTGATCACATATACTATTTACACCAGTAATGGTATGTCTCCGTACATTTTCAACAAGCTTAACAGGTGGTCAATGGCAACTAAACTGAAGACTGTACTAATCGAGGAAGATTCCGTCTTCTATTTTTACACTATAGTGTCCCCATTAGTACCCACCAAGGTCAATACCAGTTGCAACGAATTTCAGTTGCTGAAAATAGCTCACGGCTCCATAATAAAATGTTCTCGCTTCCAACGAACCCAACTGAGTTGGTCCAACTCTTACTATAGACGCAATCTAGTATCGTACTAAAATGAACACTAGATCCCATGTTCATCAGGTTCATGCAGCTTATTACTGAAATGATATCGTTCATTTGACTTAATCTTAAGCGTTCTTAAGTGTTTGGTTGGAAACTTATTGTAGTATTCAAATGCTCAACAATATTCAAAATCATAAAGAAACTAGTCGCCATTCAGTTACAATCTCATTTGACCTCTGTTTTTAACCAGCCGGTACATACGGTACAGAGACGGCCTTGGTCTGTTTGTCAAACCTGGGACAATTTGTTGCAGATAATAATTTTAATCAAAATTGCCCCATTCTCTTCAAGTGTCTCCCAAGGCTCTGCCCTAGCACTTATTTGTTTTAGTCTATTTATCCCCATCAGGCAGTCTTATTGGTGTCAGCTTTAATTTTTACACTGATGAAATTTAGCTTTACATCTTGTGTAATCCATAATGCAATGTTTCAATTATGTCAAACTGCGTGAGTGAACTTCCGGCTGAAATGTCCTCCATTTAAATATGATAAAACCTGAGATGATGTGAATAAACCCCAGGGAAGATGAATCTCATTTAGTAAATTCTCTACAACTTGGAAACAGTAGCCTAAAAGTATGCCCTACTATGAGAAATCAGTGGTCTTTTTTTAAAACAATATCTTTATTGTTTTTTCCATATTTAATATGAAATGAGAAAATATGAACTATGTCCAAACAACAGAAAAGAAAAAGGAAGAATGTGATAAAACATCCAGACAGTTCCAATAACTCATACAATGGCAGTGATTCAAAACACAAGTCACCCAGGTGTTTGTTTTTTAACATAAATACATGTTATATACAGGGCTTAAATGTGATACCTTTCATAAAGCAGTTCCTCTAATTAAAGCCTTTACTCTCTAGATGTTACCCCGATTATTCTCTAGAAAATCTATGCAATACTTCTTCCAAAAACCCTGAACTACCAGACATTCCCACATGCAGTGAAAAAATGTACCTTTGTTATCTTTGCATTTAATTAGGATAGAACTGATGAAGTTCATGTAGTGTGATATACAGTCTTCGTATCCACTTATACTGTAAGAGTTTTAAGCTAGTATTCACAGTCTGAGTCTGAGCTTTCAAACAAGTTTCACTCCACTCTTCCGCAGAGATGTCTTCTTGTATATCTGTCTTCCACGATTGAAGCCTACAGTCAAACGATTCTTTCGATTTTTCAACTAGCACCCCGTACACCAATGACACCTGTCCGGTGGTCTTTTTTATCCCAAATAAATGATGCACAAATAAAAGACGCCTGTAAAGTCTCTTACTTTCATCTCAGAAAATTTGCTTGAATTTCTTGATCACACTGCTGCAGAAACCCTGATTCATGCCTTGGTCACACCTCGGCTGGATTACTGCAGTAGCCTTTACAGTGGTCTCCCGACCAGCTCCCTAAACAAGCTCCACGTGGTCCAAAACTCAGCTGCTCGACTTCTAACGTGTTCTCTGTGAAGACATCTCCCCCAATTCTGAAACATCTTCACTGGATCCCCTCTACCCAAATGTATCCAGTTCAGAAGTTTACTTTTAACTTTTAAAGCCAACACATCCAGCCCCACAGTACAGAGCACCTGAGCATCTCTCATTACCGCTGTGTATCAAGCAGGGTTTTACTCTCTGCTGAGGCCACCTTCTTACAGGAACAAGTGTCTGTTCAGTCTTTTACAGTTAAAATCTAGACCAGTCACCTATCAGGTTTAGTCAGGTTTTTAATTAGTGTTTGCCTTTCCTCCTTGTCCACGTTGTTGATCTTTGCCTTTATTTCTGTTGTGTGTTATGTTCTACCCTGTAAAATGCCCCGAACTCTCCTGCTGTACATGGGCACTGAAATACATCCTTGTAAACGAACCAGCTGCAGGTGGCTCTGTGGCCAAGGATCTATGCCTGTGGCTGGAAGGTTGCTTGTTCAAATCCTGCAGCTGGCAGAGAAACCCTACTCTGTTGGGCCCCTGAGCAAGGCCCTTCACCCCAACTGACCCTGCGCTCTGACCCCCAGCTTCTCTCCCTGTGTCTCATGGAGAGCAACCTGGGGTATGTGAAAAGACACATTCCTAATACAAGAAATTGTATATGGCTAATAAAGTGATCTTATCAATAGACCTACTTCTCATGGTTCAATCATAAAGGGAGTTTTTTTTCTTTCTTTTCTCTTTTTCATACGCTTATCTCTCCCACATCTCTGGCTTCCTTTTTCCTACTCCTTTATTCCTGTTTTTTATATTAGTGGTGGAATTACACAGTGTGTTCAGGGACCCAGCTTGTCTTGCCATGACTATTGTTCACGCGTGTTTGTTATTGGGTTTGGCACTGTGTGACATTCTTTTTTTTCCCGGAAAAAACAATAAAAACGTTGAATACTAAGGGGGGTGCCATCCCTACCTCACACACTGAAGAGTGCAGAGCCCGTTGTATGCAATGGTGAGTCTTGAAATACAGATTCTGTGGAGGGAAGTGAACTGAAATTAAGGGAAATGCATATAAGTAAACAGGAAGTGATTCTTCACTGTGATCAGTCTCATCTGGGCATCATTTCTCTCTGTTGTTTACGGTGGGAGGTCTCCACACGGGAGGTTCTGAGAGTGGAGAAGGGATATGGAGGAACAAGGATATTCGTACACGGGGTAAAGTGTCTTATTTTCTGTAGGGTTTATTAAAGAAAACACTCTTATTAGGGTCTTTTCAGAGGTGATCGATGACGGCTCTTCAGTACACTGCCCCTGGCCGTGGGCCAGTAACAATAAGAGCGTCGATATAGCTGGCGTGTCGAAAGTCTTGGAGATGGTACAGGCAGTTCATCCCGGCTGACAGCAAGGCTGGGGCGGACCACACGTGGCAATGATACCGCTGGCTCTTACGGCGCTGGTACCCTGACCAAACGAGAGACGAGCAAAACGCGGTTTTAAAATGCCCAAGGCTCGCTCCATGGGCACCCCGCTGTTTCACGGCGCTGTACGTGTGCAGCCCCCTCATAACCGGTGCTCTCGGGCAGAGCCACCACGGGGCAAAGAGTCGGAGGCAAAAACAAACAAACAACAACAACAACAACAACAACAACAACACGCAGAGTTAACAAAACCTGGAGTGCGGGGCCCAAGAGACACCCCCTCATTTCTTCAACAAGTCGGGGGTATTCTTCGGGAAAACCCTGGGGAGATCCAACTACCCCGGACGGCCATGATCCACGGATATCAATTAGGCAACACCTCAGGCAAAGTACAACAATTTGCACGTAAAGAAAACCAACAACTTTCCGACCCAGTGTTCCGCTTGGTACTGTACTGAATTGCTTAGTTTAGCAGCAGTATCTGTAGTCTTGTACTTTGGTATCCTCTAGAGGGCATCAGGTGTTCCGTCTGCAGTTGAAAACATGATCATATTTACCTGTGAGGACTCATTTCAGCAGCGATCGACCTGGCGTATTTCTTAAGCATTGAGCTGAGTACCAACCACAGGATCATCCACGACTAGGACGCTGCTCCCAGATCGTTGCCAAACGGTTTTTTTCTAGCAAAATAGCGCAGACTACACTAGTCCACAGATTGAACAGTGATATTATTCTGTTATGTATTTATATATTTTCAACACTCGCGGCCATAAGAAATGGTATATCAGACCATGCTGATTTTTTTTTTTAATGAAAAATCAATGTGTGGAATATCTTACCTAAAGGCACCTGCTGCTCCCACGGTTGTTTTAAAGTTCACATCAAATCGATCGTGTTGCGTACACACACACGTTTACTTCACAGTTTTCATTTCTCCAGCTGGGTTTTATTAATGTGGTCCGATTCGTGTTCCATTAAAAGTGAAGAGGGGCAGTAAGGGAAAAGCTTATGTTTTATCGTCCAGATAGAAACCGCAGTGGGGTTTGAAAGAACCAGTGTCTGTGGCTGTGACCCGGTGAACTTGGGATGTCTAGCTCTTGGGCTCACGCCGTAACGGCCTTGCCCTTATGGTTGTCTCACTCACATTTGCAACCAGGCATTTACAAACCGTGCTTTTAAATAGATGCCCCCCCCACTGCCCCGGTCATCCGCCGAGACCCCAAAAAAAACCCCCCAAGCGGCATCACGTGTTCGTCGCGGGAGCGCGCACACACACACACACTCGCTCCGCCTGGTGGAGGAAAGAGGCACAGCCTGCGAGGCCGCCCGTCCGAGACGATTAATAATAAACAGCCGGAACCGCGTCCGGCCCGCACGCAGCTGCAAGCCAGCGCACCGCACCGCACGGCTGCTCAGGTCACCGCGGTGGCACTGACAGGGCAGCGGGCCCACGGCGGCCGACTCCCCCGGCGGCGGGGACGCGCGTCGCTGGGGGGCAGAGCCATGTCGGGCGGCGCCGGTGACGTCACGCCGTCCGCGCTGGAAGTAGTCAGCGTCGTGGGCAAGGCCGTGTGCGCAGGCGCGGCACTGACAGCCGCTCTCTACCTGATCCGCAGAGTGTGTCTCACCATGGCCTGGAAGTCAGGAGGCGCCAGCCACGCTGAGCTCGTCAACAACCTCCGCAGTAAGTCCGCCGCGGAGCGGGCTGGCCCCGCCGGGGGGAGCCGGCCCTTCACAGCCGCCGCCGCCGCCGCCTCCTCCCGCTGCGGGTCCGGACGCACGTCGGACCGGACCGCGGTGTCGGTCTCGGTGGTACCCGGCTGGGGGGCGGACTGGGGGTAACGCTGCCGGTGGTGTAGCGGTCCAGCCTGGATGGTGGCAGGGGGGAAAAACATCTCGGCGTGTCGGCAGCTCGGGGGAAAGGGGCGTGTCAGCCCCTCAAACGCCGGAGCCCAGCCGCGTCTGCAGCCGCCGCCGCCGCCGCGTTGTTTTCTTTTAAAAGCAATAGCTCGGAGACCGTTTCTCCGGAGCGGGGCATGCCAGCATTCGTGACGCAACCTTAAAAAGGCACGTTTGGAGCTGACCGGGCATCTCGCAGCTGCAGGCATATCGGCGGCGGCAAAACGCGAGTGGTGCCTGCGTGGGGTCTTGGCAAAGTTAGTTTTCGCCCGTTTGCGCCGGCGTGCAAGAAGAGAGCTGCGCCGTCCGCGTTACCCGCCTGCCGCGGGAAGGGGTTCGTTTGCTGTGCCAGTCTGCCCGGCTTGCACAGTGCGCACAAACCTCGGACAGGGGAGTCGCTTTGAATGATTGCCTGGCAGCCGGCTATCCCCCGTGTCCAGTGCAGGGAGCCACGTTCGCGCACCCTTGAGCGTTAAGAGAGCCGCATATCAGCGGTCACCGGGAGGGGGGTGGCCCTGTCGTGTCCCTGTCGTGTCGGTGGGGTTTGGCACGCGTGGCTCGTGTTGCAGCCGGGGTGTAGCAGGCGGCAGGTGCACCCCGGTATCATAGCGCAGCGCCCTGTTCACCTGCGGGCCGGCGCTTTCCTTGAGGCGCAAAGCCCGAAGCACACGCTGCGCAGACCGTACACACAACCTGACAGAGTCCGGGTAATGTGGACACTCTCAAATAGGAAAGAAAAAAAAAACCCTGACCTCAAATGCATTTTCCAGCCAAACCCGAGTTATACTCGGCGATGATGATGCTCACAATAGTCGTGTTTTAAGATTTAGAGGTTTGTTTTTTCCTGGGTTTCTAACCGACAACGTCGACGTCGGCCAGAAGGGTGGGTGATGCTGGAGGATGTTTCCAGATCTCGTTTGCGTGCCGTACAAAGGGATGTGAGGTGAAGTGCGCCCTGTACGGGCCGCTGGTGACAGCTGGCTGCATGTTTTTATTTCTGCGATGTCGGAACGAGAGAGAGACCGGAGCAAACCCACGCGTCAAGCAAGTGGTGCTCTCGCAGTCACCCACCCAGGAGGGATCCGATCTGTCAAACCCACACGTTTCAGGCTCGAGCTTTCCAAGGTGGGCACAGCTAAAAAATAAACATGGGGTTCTTCAGAAAAACAGAATACAGGAGAGACTAAGGGCATTCTGCAAAAGGTTCAAGTATAGTGTAGTAGCGCTATCCTGTAGTCTTTTAACCAACATATCTTTATTGTATGACTCATTTCAGCACAGTGCTGAATTGGTTGTGATTGCTGTTTTGATGTAGCTTCCAAAATAGTGCTTTGTCTTGCATGTGAGCTTCCCTGCGTAGTCCCTCTGCTTTGCAGGAGCTGGGTGTACAGTGAGTGTTGGAAGAATATGCACCGTCACTGTGGTCTGGCCCTCCACTGCAGCTATCAGGAGGGAGGGAGGGAGGAGTTTCTGGACATAGAAGGTCATCTCAGATCAGCAAGTTCTCTATATAAAGTCCAGATCATCGTGTAACTTACACTTCAAGTCTCTGTATCACCTTTGACTGTGGATGTTTAGTGGGCTATATTTATATATGTACTACAGCAGGGTCTTGCTGTGTTCAGATAGGAGCTTTTCCTTCAGGTGCAGCTGACTGTGGTGACAGAATATTCTGTAAAGAGTACTGTTACGCTAAGCTTAGGCGTTTTGTCACAGTGTCTGCGCTGTTTTTTCAGTCAAGCAAACGAACACCAAAGTTACTCAAGTGAATATCTCTTTGCATTAAGAAGAGAAAATGTTATTACTTTGTTTCGACGTGTTATACATGCAAAAAATGAGTTCTTTGTAAAACAAATACAGTGCATATAATGCCAGAAAATATGAATATTTTATTCAAATGTTCAGTCTCTGTGGTTGAGAGAACCAGAGGGGATCCGGGGTGACACTTCTTGTGGTACAGCAGCTAAATGGAGGAAAACCACCCTCTTGTTCACAGCTTGGAAAAATGAAATACCCAGTTACCACATCTGGTGCTTGACCCTTGGGAATTTGAGTGATGAGCTTTTATTTTCCAGGGCGGCATAACTTTAATTTTTCATACATTAGGAAAATCATAAGGGGTTATGTTTTTTTGACTTTCTTAATTGATTGAAATGTATGCATTACTAACCCAAATTACTGAGTGCATACTGTACTAATGGGCATTAAAATGCCTCAAATGCTATTTGTTTAATTCCCCGTGTTGTTTTATTACATCTCAGTTTTGAGTATAGCTAGTTGGGGTGATTGTGAAAGCCGAGTTACATCTTACCCATAAAATATGGGGTATCTTTGTGATGTGTCATTTGTAATCTGGAAATAATTGCAGCGTTAGTTGCAGTACACAGGAAACTTTTCGATTTGAAGACTAACTTTTGTCTTAATTTCAAACAGGTAGAACAGTACAGTTGTGCCTTTGAAAGAACATGTTTTTAAATGCAAGCTTTTGAGTTTTCTCATTTCAAGACAATTTAACATTTAAGTGGCGTAGTCTAATTCCTAGGCTTTTTTTCTTTATACCTGTGCTTATTTTGTCATTTTGTTGCCCCTATGTATTTCATGACTAAGTCTCCTGACTGACGTTTTGTTTACATAATTGTAATATAGGCACCTCTTCTTTTTAAAATGTTGTATATAGAGGTTATTTAACCCCTAAAGAAAGATATTTAGAGTTACCAATAAGAGGCCATGATATAACAATAATAATAATAATAATAATAATAATAATAACATCACTTTATTAACCCTTTACAATTTCTTGCATTAGGAATTATCTTTTCGCATACCCCAGCTTGCTCTCCATGAGACACACAGACACACAGATAGGGAGAGAGCCTGGGGTCAGAGCGCAGGGTCTGCCATTGTACAGCGCCCCTGGAGCAGTTGGTCTGGGGCCCAGTGGAGTAGGATTCCTCTGCCGGCTGCGGGATTTGAACTGACAACCTTCCAGCCACAGGTGCAGATCCTGAGCCACAGAGCCACTGCTCCTATAATTAAGGGTGAATTCAGTGCTGTACTCTGCATTTAATGACAAAAATTGAAATTATTGACATTTATTAGTTTGTTTCCATTATTTTTTTTTTTAATAAATACAAACCCAGAAGACATTACCGGGCTCCATGGTTGGTATGTAAGGCAGGAGGTGTCAGCAGTACAGTAAGTCATGGAGAGAGAGTAATCACCAGGCCCACATGACAAGACATCGGGCAGGCAGGAGGTTTGAAAAGGGATGGGAGACGTGCGATTGCAGGAAATATCTGTTTCTCTTTTTCTCTCTACAGAAAATGGGATCATTAAATCAGATAAAGTGTTTGAAGTCATGCTGGCTACTGACCGGGCACACTTTGCGAAATGTAATCCTTACATGGATTCCCCCCAGTCAATAGGTAAATACATCTGAAACGTCGATCAATACAGTGGCAGTGTTTTGCTCTCACCTGAAGAAGGCTCCACAGCTGAAAACGTTGTGTTTCCTTTCTTCCCTTTCCAGCAGGGAATAAACCTGTTACTTGTTATTTTGCAGCCTTCGCCTGCTGACGCAGCTCCCCACCTGAACTACTTTGTTTTAATAATGTTCTATATCACAGCCTGTTTTTTTCTAACTAATTTCTTTTCAGAAGTACTAGCAGTCTTAGTGGTAGCAGGAGTTTTCTGGGAGTGGCTGACAGTAGTTTTGGCACACAGAAAGCAAGCCTTCTCATAGCAAGTCAATGCATTTTTGTCATATAAATTTAAACATGAGCTATTCCTTGACTTTTAAAGGCTTGTTTTTGACTTCTGATTGACCGTCATGTATTTGGCAAGCCTGCTCGAAGCTCAGATAATCCCAACCATTTCACTGTCAAAAGAAACAAGAGTTGAGGCTTTCTACACATTGCACACAGATGGGCATCTCTTTCAGCTAATTTCAGTTCAGATATTTTGATGACCCTCTATGGTAAAATTAATTCGGAGATTAAAAAAAAAAACATTGCAGTCATACAGAACGGAGACTGCTTACAAATCAGTTGAGATTAATTTAAGAGAACCGGAGCTGGCATAGATAATGAATTTGCTATGCATTTCCAAAAATCCAGTACAACCAGAAACAAGTTTCAGTAATTAAAATAACAATATTGATGTTATATGACTGTTTATCTGTCCTACCTGCTTAATACAAGTCTATTGGCTAAAATAGTTGTGGAATGCTGCATTTGTATATTTGTATAATTTGTTATAAGGCATAATTTGCCAAACTTTTTTTGCTTACAGGTTTCCAAGCAACTATCAGTGCTCCTCACATGGTAAGCTTTAATGATTGCTCTTAAAAGGCTGCAGATTGTTTTTAGTCTATCCACTGATGTGCTGCTCTGTATCAGAGGATTTTCGCACCTACTCACTTTTTCATTTTGAACCGCAGTGGTTTATTTGTTTATTTTAAAAAAAATCCATGGATTAATTTTACAGCTGATAGCAAAGTAAATACTGTATCTTACCCAAATATAAATACGAAATATTTAAGTTTCAGATTTAACATTTTTTTAAACGTTTGCATTGAAAAGTATTTTAAATGATTGTATTTTTTGTTTAGTTGTACTGAATCTGTGGGGCAGGTGTAGCTGTAGATTTCTAATGGGGAAAAAAAACATAATTTCAGCAATTTAATGCATAAAATGGTATTAGAAATGGCCTTTAAGACGGATATGACACACAGCTTGCTTTATCTATTGCAGCATGCATATGCTTTGGAACTTCTCCATGATCAGCTGTATGAAGGAGCAAAAGCTCTAGATGTTGGATCAGGAAGTGGGATCTTGTCAGTCTGCTTTGCGCGGATGGTGAGTCAGTGCGTAATAATGTTTTCAGGGGTGACGTTCTCTCACGCCCACATTTCAAAAATAGGGGCTCATACTGTAAGTGCATGATGCTTAGGAACATGCATACGGCGCAAACAAGATGTCTCTGCGAATAGTTTTTGTTGTTCAAACTGCCCCCTTCAAGCTGCTAACTTCACTTTCAATTGCTGGTACAACATTCTGGTGGTCATTTGCCCCTGTGGGTGTCTCCATTATGAGACATTTTGGGGGAAAAAGGGCATTTTGTTGTCATTTGGTTGTGCTGGATGTCAAAATCTACCTTAATGTGAAAGATGAAAAGCGAAAGTTTAGGCATGGCCTTTAGTGGTCACTGTTTAGTACAGTATTTTAGGTAGCGCTTGTGGTTATGTTTTAAGTTAGGGTTTTTGTATGCAAATGAAAAGTATTAGTCTTCTTTTACAACTATCTAACCTTCAGCTGTTCATTTCAGCGTAATTGCTGATTAAAGTGTAATGTTAAGGGGTTGGATGTGTTACTTTCTCTAAATGTATAGCAGGGGAATCTAGAACTTGCACTTACTTCTGTAGAAATTGCCTTGACACACCCACTGTGTGGATATCTATAAATGTATTTCTGTACACCCCCTTGTCCTCACTTTCCTGAAAAACAAATCAACATCTTTATGAGCTGCGTTTCTCTTTTCCCTCTTCCTCCGTTTTGGTGGTCCACTCTTGGAGAAGGGTTTTTCCAAATCTTACATCTGTTGTTTTCTAACTAACCATTCAAGTCAGCTGTTATTCAGCTGGGCTGGCTGCTGCAAGCACTTGTAAGAGCACAGGAGTGCGAAAGTAAACGCGTCCTCCACAGTGTGTGCCCGTGGCCCTCTCTCTTCACAATGCGAACCTGCCGCACAGACGGCGTCATTTGCGGAGATGACTAATGTGGTCATCACTGGCTACGCTGCAAGTGTGACCACACACCCGGGCGTAGCAATCGCTGTTGTACACAGCAAGCTGAGGCTGGCTTGAAACTACATGGATCTCAAATGCAGCCAGCCCTGGGGGAGCCTGCCAGTTTCCAGTCCTAGTCCGCTAAATAGCCAAATATGACCTAACAATCTCTGAAAAGTGGTGCCCAATGTGCACTCTTATGGCTTCATCATATTAGCCATATGGGAGATCGTTGATATTTGCTTGGGCACCTAGATGTAAGCTTTTATTATCGCCTTAATTAGACCTTTTCAATTTTGATTTAATGTTTATGAGAAATTTTATTTTAGACCTACTGCTTGTTTTAAACCAGCATAATAATCACATCACAGCATTTGTTATATCATCTACCATGTTCTCTTTGTATTTTACGTGATAGCCTCGAACGTTTTCACGATGAGCCCTTAACCAGACATTTTTGTGTGCATCAGCAGCAGAGTTTTTTATAGTTCTGATAATCTTTGCGAGGCCCGTCAGGTGGTTGGGATTGGCTGGAGACTGATGAATACAGAATAACATTTGCCTCAATAATGATCACTCAATGTAGAATCAGAGAAAGATCATTTACATATTGGTGGGTGATTTTGCACTCTTAACACATTCAAATGAAGTCAGAGTGGGATTTGAAAGCATTGTGCACTGGAGTGTGGGAGAAAATGTTGGAAAGCGTAGTGCATGCAGAATGCATTTTGTACCTGAAATGAAATCTCAGCTGACAAGAACAATAATCGTTCTGTTTTACAGGTTGGCCCCAAAGGAAAAGTCATAGGAATTGATCATATTAAAGAACTTGTTGATGATTCAATAAACAATGTTAAGAAAGATGATCCCAGCTTAATAACATCAGGCAGAGTAAAATTGGTTGGTAAGTAAATGCACCATATATTGAATTGTATATGAAATTAACATAGATGTGTAATACTGAATCATCTTGTACAGGTTCGAATGAAAATGATGTAGAGATCGTATAATCTTTCATAGTACATTACCATTGAAACCCCACTGGAAGAGGGGTTAATTAATAAAAAACATTTTGCACAGCCAACTGAAAATTAAAGGTGATGGAGGGGCTTTGTTTTTGTGGAATGTGACTTCCATGGTTTCCCCCTGCGATCTTCAGGTGTGGCTATTTTCTTTATACGTGATGGAGCTTTTGCGTTGACTAATCGTTGCAGTTTTATCAGCTCCCAGCTGTTCTGTTTTTAGATGTAGTTCTTGCCATATGAATTCTGAGAAATCAGAATCAGACGCACACAAACTGCAAAACCCTAATTGCGCAAGCTCCGTTCCCTGTCGCAAGAGAGATAAGATCACTTTATTAGCCATCTACAGTTTCTTGTATTAGGAATTTGTCTTTTTGCATACCCCGGCTTGCTCTCCATGAGACACACAGACAGGGAGAGAAGTTGGGGGTCAGAGCGCGGGGTCAGCCATTGTACAGCACCCCTGGAGCAGCTGGGGTGAAGGGCCTTGCTCAGGGGCCCAAAGGACTAGGATTCCTCTGCCGGCTGCGGGATTTGAACCGGAAACCTTCCAGCCACAGGCGCAGATCCTGAGCCACAGAGCCACTGCACTTAACATGATCGACGTTTCAGATGTATTTACCTATTGACTGGGGGGAATCCATGTAAGGATTACATTTCGCAAAGTGATCAGCTTTGTGTTAGACCACATGAGATGAACACCCTCGTCAAGCTCCCGTCACAGGACTTGTGTTGCTCTGCCCTGTATTGCAGTTGGAGATGGCCGGCTGGGCTTTCCGGAGGAGGCACCCTACGACGCCATTCATGTAGGGGCGGCAGCACCGACTGTTCCTCAGGCAGTAAGTTCTTGGCCAGAAGTGCCCCCAAAATGAAGTTTTTTTTTAATATAATGGATTAGTTTGCATTCTTTGCTTTCGTGCATTCTTCCCAGAACGGGCTTCACAGTCCTTCCTCCCCCCTCCCCCCCCCAACCAGAGTCTGTCGTACGCTCACTGTACCCCGTCCTCGATCCCCTGCCTGTGGTTCATTTGTCCCTGCACGCGAGCGCTAGACTAAAAATGGCGCCCCCAGGTTATTTTGGGAGTGCCATCCGAGCCGCATGCTGAGGGCGACCCGCCCGTCTGCTCTTTGTGCCTCAGCTCCTGGAGCAGCTGAAGCCGGGCGGCCGGCTCATCCTGCCCGTGGGCCCCGCGGGTGGAAACCAGATGCTGGAGCAGTACGACAAGCTGGGGGACGGCAGCACCAAAATGAAGCCTCTCATGGGAGTGATTTACGTGCCTTTAACAGACAAAGACAAGCAGTGGTCCAGGTGGAAGTGACTTTCTACTCACTCTTTCTTCTCCTGCAGAGAGTCGCCAAGGTGAAATGGTGTGGATTGGAGCAGATAATAGATCACAAGGGCTGCGTTTGCTGCTTGTTATCATTTTTTGCTACCCCATACCATGGCAAATGGCTGCACTTTTTGAATTGACCAAAACTAATGTACCAGTCGTTTTTCAGACTGTTTGGGAATGTGTTGATTGACCTCCTTAACATGGCCCGTGGATTGCGTTTGGGTTTTTTTTCTGTTGTATTGTTGGTGTTATTTTCTTTAAAGATGAGACTACTGTTGCACCACGTTACGGCATGTTTTACAATTCTTGCCATCTTTGCTGAGCCCTTGCAATATTTCGGATCGCCTGTCCCAGAAGGGATTTATGATTTATGAACTATGATATGATATGAGCTATGATGGAACTTTTCTTAGCTCTGACAGTCGCCTGTCGAAATAAAATGGAAAAAACACATGATTATCAAAGTATTCATAATCCCATTCCACCTTTAAAAACCCATCAGTATTACGCTATCTTGATTTGGCCTGGTTGAGACAGTTTTGAAACTAAAAATAAAACTAGAAGAACATTTGGGACAAAATAGAAACCAGTTTTCATTCCACAGGCCTTGTATTATCGCTCATCAGCCTGTGTGCCTGAGCTTCATCTCCAAAGGATTTGAACTCCGCGCTTGCGTGGGGTGGCGTGGAAATCCATTTGTCCTACAGTTACCTGTTGAATTAACCATTTCAGTGCTAAACTGAGCATTCTCACGCATGTAAGGAACGGGACTGAATGGTCTTTGTAAGAACATGCGTGCGAAAACGAGGCAAATGGATTTTCAATAACCCCAAAATGACTGGGCTGCTCTAGACTGAAATATTTCCGTTCCTGTTGACATACACCTTTAAATATCATCCAGTGCTTTTTTCTAAATGAGAGAGTTTAAATTTTCACGGCTTTATGCCAGTGGCACTGCTCATAGACGGCATTGTGAATGTCAGTTCTTTTGTTGCGGGCTGTGGCTGGAGAGGTGCTGAGCCTGTTTGCACTGTGATGGCAGTGAGGGGGCCGACGCTGGAGTTTTAAAGCTTTGTCTTTGTGTTTCTTTCAGGGATGAACTGTGAAGCAGCCTCAGCATATCCATGTCCTGCACTATAGTGTTAACCTGAGTGGACTTTTCCCTTTTCAAGCAGCTGGTGGATTTCAAGAAAAACAAAACAAAAAAAGGAACGCGTTGAAGCTTGTTTTTGGGACTTTTTTTTTCCCCCCAAGTGTTAAAAAAAATGGTGTGGATCTCAAAGATAGACTGGTAGCAGTTTAACACAAAAGAAGTTTGCATTTGGGAGCTTTTTCTTTTATTGTTTTCATTGGAGGCAGATGCAGGGTACAGACTTTGTCAGTTTGTGGATAAAATAAGTATCAATGATTAAAATTTAGTTCTCATCCAATTAGTTCCATTCTAGTTAAGTTGGAGAAAACCATATTTCCTTATTTTTGGACTGTTTTTGTGCAGTGTGTAAAGCCTATATTATAACTCGCTGATGTGCACCTTACAACACTATGCGCATTTCCAAGATTTCTAGATGCAGACATCTCTGTTGCTCAGCGCTAATATTGACATTTTTCAGCATTTTTCCAGCTTACAATATTTAAACAGCGGAATGCAGCAAGTACAGCTTTCTGTCATTTAATCTGTATGGCACAAACACACAGCACAAAGTCTCACAGTACATAAATGGTGTTATAGTTACCGTTTCTGTCAACCCTCCTGTACAGACTGACAGCTGAAAAATCTTGTTTATACACTGCATTACGGGTTTCTCACAGCTCTTTGCTTTTCTCTTCCTTTTGCTGTATTGAATTGGCTGCAGACTATAATTTACATGACTAGTAACATGCTGTGTACAAGTAACAGGTAATATAATTCAGTGCTGCTTTGCCAAATAAATCTGAACTCAAAGCAAATGTCTACTGTTTTTACATCTATGGCTAAAGAAGCTGGTTGCAATTTTAATGTGTTGCTTATGAAAACAAGTAACAATCAGCACTTTACCAAGACTTTATTTATTTTGTCTTGTCTGTGTGCAGTGCTACCACGTGTCATCCGTGGAAGTGGGCCGTTTCATTTCTGGAAATAAAGGTGAACTGAGAAACCTTCTCCTTTATTACAGGAGCTGGCAGTCTTGAGTGACTCTTCCAGCTCCAGTGCAGTTCAAGCCAGCAGGCGAGCCCTGTTACCAGAGAGACTGGGGCCTAGCAATCACAATGCCTGGCTTTGACCTTGCAGATTGTTTTCAGAGCGATTTCAAGGCTTTTCAATCGAGCAAAGGGAAATGATTGCAAAGTAAAACTAGGCGCAATATGACGTGAGCTTTGGTCAAGTGCAATAACCAAACTGAGGATGACCCATGAATGTGCTGAGCAATGTTTTCTTTCTGAATTGTTATTGCTGATGTATGGAAACAATTGGTTTTAGTCCAGCTGTCCCATAAAACCATGGAAATTGCAGTTATTTCTAGATGGATATCGGTATTTCTATTCTATTTTGCCAGTATAAGTTTTATAAATAGTTTAAATTAAGATTTTCCCAACAGTTCAGCACAACTTGACAGTTTGCAGTGCCTACAAATAAATTTTTAAATCTAATTTGTATAAAATTTTGCATGATGATATTCTATGATAGCAGGTTTGCAATTTTTTCATAAAGCCAGAGCTACAATACCATGCTTAATAGGCCAATATACATTTAATATACATTTTAGTTCAGCCTGATCTTGCATCTGGTTGATTTACGAGGTCTCATATCTGCAGTTGAATTCATTTTTTATGCCTTTAACGAAATTTGCATTTTAGAAATTTAATCTGACGTTGAGATAGGTTATGTAGTTTCAGATATGAAACCACTGAACTCAGGAAAAGTTTAAACTGTTGAATTCAGTGAAAAGTCGTAGAATATTGCACATCTTTTTAATGCCCAAGCACACCGAGATCTCACAATTCAAAGGTGAGCTACATCCAACATTTATATTTAAAGGATTTATATTATAAATACCATTTAACAATAATTAGAACAGTAACAGCACTGGCAAATGCAGCAGCTGAAAACCTTGAACAGGGAAGCAGACGGATGTGATGCTTGATGAGCAAACAGCTTGCCGAAGACGAGTACATCTGATCCACGCTCTTTGAAGTTGACCGTGTTGTCTAGAACAGTGCTGTACTTGTCTGGCAGAACACTTTTAGGTTCCATTTATAAACCATTTTGTCTCGCAACGCTCGTCACACCTCTTTTTGATGTTAACAAAATGAAAAGAAAAACATTTTGAACTGTCAAGTATATGAGAACTGATTAACTGTTGCTTGATGGTATGAAGCAGGTGAAAACTTAAATTGTAGTAAATGTTTACCATATGCAACAAGTCCTTGTTAAAAACAGGAAAACGTGATTCTTTTCATACAACAGTCCTAAAGATGGTTTTATCTGACTAACTGCTCACTGGCTCCACTTCTGTAGTGCTGTAATATTGGAATGGGCTATAACTTCTAAATTACAAGTGAAACTACACTATTTAATTTGTATGCATTGGACAGATCTTTTAGCTCTGTATATATTGGTCAATAAAAAAACAATCCAGATTTGTTTTCTTTCGAAGTAATTCATTTGGAAGCATCCTGAGAGAAGACGGGAGGCTCCAGGAGAATTTGACCTGTATTTCACAAGGCTGTACCATTCAAAATGTTCACCCTGTTACAAAAGAAGGGGGAATACAGGCCAGAAACTACACTTTCAGGATATCGCCTTCACCCTTTGGTCTTCACAAAAATGTACAAAGTGAACTCGTGATGAGCATGATGGGTAAGATGTTTATAGTATGCTGCTCGGCGTACATCAATTCTTCTTTGAATATGAGACACTGTCATTTTACTGAAGGCACAACCATGACACCCTGGCACAAGCATTAAAAGGCAATACAACACTGTCACGATTACAGAACTCTGCACATTTTATTTCTTAGGGCTTCGTTCAGCATTTCAAACCTGAGAATGCACCAGACGAATGTCAATCAAACTCAAACAAGGAAATATTAGGTTTTGAAAAAATTACCTTTTTTACCAAACTGCTGACAAGGCTGAAGGATGATTTGGGCTGACACACAGTAAAAAATGGAGACGTGACAAGAGCGCATGTTCATGGAACAGCTGCACAGTTATAAGGACAGCAGTGCTGATATTTATGGTAAGAGCTGGGTAATTGGGAGATAAACGGCTTTTCTCGATTTCCAGTTCAGCCCCCCACCACACTGTCAGCTCCAGGAAATGTACTCAAGCAGGGAGAGGAATAACCTTTATGGTGATTAAAACCCATAGCCGCTTTCGAATTTTCAGCACAGGCCGTCGAGCCTGGGGGTACAGATACGTTCTGGAAACCTCTGAGGTGAGGGCCGCTCCAGACCACCTCTGTGCTGCAGGCGGGGTCCCTCTGCCCAGGTGGCTCTTGGTCCGGACGCTACAGGTACATGCCGTTGATCAGGTAGTCGGACTCCTCCGAGGTGATGGGCCGCGCTTTCTTCAGCTTCTGCCGGACGAGGCGCAGCCGGCAGGCAACCATGAGCAGGAGCAGGGCGGTGATGGCGAGGCCCAGAGCCAGCGGCACCACGGCGCCTGGAGAGGGGAACAGCAGGGGGCAGAGAGAGGGCCCGCCCGGTCACGCACACACTGCACGAGGCACACGAATCAACACGGAGGCGCACAGGGCCTGGAGGAGACCGTCCCAGGGCTTTTCACCAGCGAGGGTTTAAAATCGCACCCGCGGCAGGGGAAAAAACACAATTCCAGCCGGTACCTAAAGGAGAAATTCAACACCCTGGCCCTGAGGGGAACCCACTTCTACCTGTTCTTGCCTTTCATATGAATGCTTGCATCTTAAATGGCTACTGCAATCGCTTCCGTCAAAAAAGCGAAGAAGATATTTTGATAGTGGCTCGAACTCCCCACGCCAACGGCTCAGTGATTTGAGGCTCCTTTGCCTGGTGTGGCTCAGGTGCTTTGTGGAGTGCTGCATGCATGACTTGACCACGCGTGTTACGTCGGGTCTCATATGTTGAGAAGCTTGCTTTTGTACGTAAAGAATAGGCAGAGGTTCTCTACTTTTAGTCATCATGTGTGAAGCACTTCTGTCGCTTTATCTGGTATAATAATAATAATAATAATAATTGCTCACACTTATATAGCTCTTTCCTGGACACTCCACTCAAAGCTCTTTACAGGTAATGGAGACCCCCCTCCATCCCCACCAGTGTGCAGCCCCACCTGATGCTCCAGTACTCTCCCCACAGATCAGCTCTCAGTGGGGAGGAGAGCAGAGTGATGAAACCAATTCATAGATAGGCATTATTAGGAGGCCATGATTGGTAAGGGCCAATGGGAAATTTAGCCAGGACGCCGGGGTTACACCCCTACTCTTTTCGAGAAACACCCTGGGATTTTTAATGACCACAGAGAGTCAGGACCTCGGTTTTATGTCTCATCCGAAGGACGGCGCCCTTTTAAAGTACAGTGTCCCCGTCACTATACTGGGGCATTAGGACCCACATGGACCGCAGGGTGAGCGCCCCCTGCTGGCCCCACTAACACCTCTTCCAGCAGCTGCCTTACCTGTCCCAGGAGTCTCCCCTTCAGGTACTGGCCAGGCTCACACCTGCTGAGCTCTAGTGGGCTGCCAGCTGTGAGCTGCAGGCTGATATGGCTGCTGACTCTAGTTAATTATAGACTAATTAACCACTACATCACCGGAACTGCAGACCTGACTCTGGGGCTGGGTGTCCACCTATGCCTTGTGCCGGTTTTGACAAGGAGATGCCACTGTCCCCTCCACTGTCCGGCGGGACATCTGGTCTGGCAGTGCGAGCTACGGGAAACAACAGGCACTTTACAATAGAAAGGGACGAGTAAAGGTTTATTCCCTGCTGAAAAGAGAAGAAAGGAAACACAACTTTTCGGCTCTGGAGCCCTCTTCGGGTGTGAAAACATGCCTGCAAGGGGACAGGAACATGCTGATCCACAGACGTCTCCTTCAGATACAAGGGAGATCAGATCAGATCACCTTACTGGCCATATAGAGGAGGGGGAAGTGAGCACTGGGGCCTTGTGGTTTTGAGTCCCACCGTTTTCATGCAAAGACACTCTCCTGCCAGACTAGATCTGCGACACCATCAAACGGAGATCAGAGATCGAGCACCGCAGGGAGCGCCTGCCCTGCAGGGTGAGACTGCCAAGTCCATCAAAGGCGCCTGCGTCGTGTGCGGACTCAGACAATGCAGACGCAGGTACAGTAAGTCACTCAGGCCCTGGCCACACCCGTCACGTGGGCCGAACAAATGAGCTGGACACCCCTGAAGTAATAATCATTAATAATAACTGCTTACACTTATACAGCGCTTTTCAGGACACTCCACTCAAAGCGCTTTACAGGTAATGGCGACTCCCCTTCACTACCACCAGTCTGACGAAGTGCTTGCCGACTTCTGCTGCAATTCGCTCTTAATGAATGAAAACCGATCTGTTTCTCCATCTGGACGTGCATCTACATTTGTGAACTTACAAGGTTCTGACTCCACTCTAGACGGAGGGTCCGTGGTGTTCTTTGGTACAGCTCTTCCTAAAAACATAAACAGACAAACGTGGGCTTATTATTTCAGCTTTTTCCCTTTGCTCCCTGAACACTTCTGTCCTGACCCATCATGTTTCATATCCAATTAACGACCCACGTGAGTTCAGCGCACAAGTATGAAATACCACAGTTCTCAAAATTACATTTGAATCAAATCTACGTACAGTTTCAAGGTGATGATTATTTTGAATTTAGCCTCAGGTGTTTGAACATTTCACGCCATGTTTTGATGAATATTCATGGTCTACTGACTTTTATTGTTTTCATGTTCACCCCGAGTCAATCTAGATGAAACAGAATATTGCAAGTCAAAGGCAACATTTCAGAAAGCCTTTTCACTGCCTGGTTGGCATTGCATGATATTATTTTACTAGGGATGAATTTCTTGGATTTTGTTGTGCGGAATGAAAATTTTGAAAGGGATCTGCTTTGCCACTTCAAGTGACGTGTGTATTTTTACACCTAGGCTCAGACTTTGATCTAGAAGGGAGATCATTGGAGCATTTAATGTATGCAATTAAATTTCCAAAGGAAATTCCACACTCGAAAAGTAGAGAGCAGAAGACAACCCAGGCCAATTACTACCACCGCTAGAGGAAATAAGCGACATAAGGTCTGATCTACAGAGAGGGACAGGCTTGGCACAGGCCGTGAAAGAGCACAGCGGCTCACTGGGTGAGCTATGGGACTCATCCTGGTTACTGCAGCAGCACGCGAACACAGAGCAGGTGACTCCCCCCAGGATGGGACTGGCACATTGCGAGGAAGGTCCCCAGCAATGCTAGTCAAAAGCAGGAAGACAGCTTGTCCAATGATGCAACAGCTCAGTCTGCAGCAGGGACCTGAACCCACTACCTGTCCAGGGGCTCACCCACTGCTCCATTCCATTCCTACAGTTACACGCCCGTGATTTTCAACACTACCATCAAAAATCAGTTTTAGTCAAATTCAAGCTCAAAATTCCTTTCAAAACTCAAAATCCCGACTTCAAAATTCCTGTACAGCTCAAAACAATCTAGGATACGTCTGAAACCCCCTTCACAAAGCGGGGGACTGTCTCTCCCTAATATTAGCGTCATGTTTTGCAATTAGTGTCCTGTTTTTGTCTGCTGCTGTCCGGAGAAAAAAGTGGGATTACAAGGGGAAAAAAGTTTCACTCTGTGGGATTTCCCTCTCGGCTTGCTCCTTTGCAGCTTGCAAAATCCCCACTACACGGCTGTTGGCAAAAGATATTGCAACTCTAACATGTGGGCTTCACATTCAAGGGGTGTGTAAGGTTCAATCGTGACATGTGCAGTTGCATGAATGAGGCCGCAGACGTGACCGGAAGAGCTGGGGCACCTGGCTTCCTGACGCACTCGTTGACGCAGTCGGCCTCCTGCAGGAAGTTGTTCCCATTGCCTCTGCAGCCTCCGTAGATGAAATGCTTGCAGGTGCCGTCGGCCCCATCAAAATACCAGCGTGGGAAGAGGCCTTTGCAGGGACCAGCAGCAGGGGGCGCCAGACAGTGGTCTGTGGACACACAAGCGTCACCTCTCTCACGACCAGGGTAAAACTGTTGGCTGTTGAGGGTCCTGTTCCTCTCATGCAAGGAAGAGAAACAGATCCATCTCACAGTAATTGGAGGATCGGATAACTTAAAACTGAGGTGCACTGTGTACCACCTGCCCCTCCTCTGCTGGGAACAATATATTACGTTGTTGTAGTCTGCCTTCAGTGTTCAGCACACAGCGGAGCAGAAGGGAAAGCTCTGTTAAGCCCTATTAGTATGACCTATTACAGAGAATCCCTTCATGTTGAATTAACCACCATACCTACATTTCTCCATAACACAATGGGGTAACACAATATGTTCAGTTCATTTAATAATCCTTGCATCAGAGTCTTTTTCTGTTCTTTAATGATGACACATGTATTAGTATTACTATTTAGTCATTTTGTGCTCTGCTATAACTCTTGTAACGATTACATTAGAAAACAGTGGCATATAGCTGCACAAATCTCTCAACCAGTTAACAACTAAGACGACAACTTCAGTCAGCATTTTCCTGTATGTTATTAATTAGAAGCTGCAGTCAGTTAACCTATATGACAGTGTCATTTAATGAAAACTAAAAACAAATAGTTTTTACATTCCTTTTTGAACTCATTATATTTTATAACACAATAGATGCAAAGGTATAAACAAATATTGTGTGATTGAATATATTAAAGAAGGTGACATTCTCAAAAGTGGTATTGGGAGGCTTTCAGGTCTTCCTAATGAGTAATGTTGCTTTTAGAATATATATAAAGTGAGACTGAGATTGAGAGTTATATTAATAAAGAGTAGAACAGACATATTCTTAATGAAATGCTTGAAAGGTCTAAAACATGTAGTGTGATATAAAAAAAGTATCTCACTAATGTTTACAACATTGAGGTAAACTCCTGGTGCATCTTGTGTCATTTAGCACATAAAAGATAAATAAATAGCACAGAAATATAAGATTTGTGGTACACCTAAATGAATCTATTCAATCAAACTGTGCGTCCAGGTGCTTTCGGAGGTTTTTGTGATGTTGCTGATGCTACGCTGTTGAAATGGCTATTTCCCCAGCACCCACTGCAAGGCTACTGCTTCTGTTTCGAGTGCTCGACTCAGGGAGGACCGAGGTGAAGACGCGGGGGGAACGATGTGTAGTGCTGGCTGAACGCTAACAGCACCTCAGGGCTGTGAGGCACAGCTGACAGACCCCACCTCTCCCTCCGGCAAGCATACCCGAGACCTCTCTGCCGTCCTGCTCTGTCTGGGTGTGAGGCCGAGGAGGGGAGGCCGCCCCCCCGTCATAGGAATGAACCGGAGAATTCAGGTCTTCCACTGCCTTTCGGGGCTCCCCCAGCAACATCACCCTGTCGCCCCCGTCCTCGGAGTAGGGTGCGGTGTCCAGGTGGCTGGCGGTGTCCGAGGAGTGGCTCACGGCTTTCCGGCTTCCATCAACTAGAGGCAAAACAGAGAGTTCGCCTGTCACTCGGCCGGCCTGTAGCTCTCCTGTCACTCGGCCGGCCTGTCGCTCTCCTGTCACTCGACCGGGCTGTCGCTCTCCTGTCACTCGGCCGGCCTGTCGCCCGCCTGTCACTCGACCGGCCTGTCGCTCTCCTGTCACTCGACCGGGCTGTCGCTCTCCTGTCACTCGGCCGGCCTGTCGCCCGCCTGTCACTCGGCCCGCCTGTCGCTCTCCTGTCACTCGGCCGGCCTGTCGCTCTCCTGTCACTCGGCCGGCCTGTCGCTCTCCTGTCACTCGGCCGGCCTGTCGCTCTCC